GCAGTGGGGGTTCTTGATTGAATCATTTAAGGTAAGAAGACCCCTCCTAAACCTGGATCAGTTGAGGTCAGAAGATCCACCCTAAACAGAGGTCACATCTGGTGACAACCTGCACAACACAAGCGGTTCCTGCTTTCTGCTTACATGTCCTTCACTGCTGCTGACACAATCATCCATCCTGCTGCTGACACACTCATCCATCCTGCTGCTGACACGCCCATCCATCCATCCTGCTGCTGACACAATCATCCATTCTGCTGCTGACACGCCCACCCATCCTGCTGCTGACACACTCATCCATCCTGCTGCTGACACACTTATCCATCCTGCTGCTGACACGCTCATCCATCCTGCTGCTGACACACTCATCTATCCTGCCTGCTGCTGACACACTCATCCATCCTGCTGCTGACACGCTCATCTATCCTGCTGCTGACACGCTCATCCATCCTGCTGCTGACACACTCATCTATCCATCCTGCTGCTGACACACTCATCTATCCTGCTGCTGACACGCTCATCCATCCTGCTGCTGACACGCTCACCCATCCTGCTGCTGACACGCTCATCTATCCATCCTGCTGCTGACACGCTCACCCATCCTGCTGCTGACACGCTCATCCATGCTGCTGCTGACACACTCATCCATCCTGCTGCTGACACACTCATCCATCCTGCTGCTGACACGCTCATCCATGCTGCTGCTGACACGCTCATCTATCCTGCCTGCTGCTGACACACTCATCCATCCTGCTGCTGACACACTCATCTATCCATCCTGCTGCTGACACACTCATCCATCCTGCTGCTGACACACTCATCCATCCTGCTGCTGACACACTCATCTATCCTGCCTGCTGCTGACACACTCATCCATCCTGCTGCTGACACACTCATCTATCCATCCTGCTGCTGACACACTCATCCATCCTGCTGCTGACACACTCATCCATCCTGCTGCTGACACGCTCATCTATCCTGCTGCTGACACGTTCATCCATCCTGCTGCTGACACACTCATCTATCCATCCTGCTGCTGACACACTCATCTATCCTGCTGCTGACACGCTCATCCATCCTGCTGCTGACACGCTCACCCATCCTGCTGCTGACACACTCATCTATCCATCCTGCTGCTGACACACTCACCCATCCTGCTGCTGACACACTCATCCATCCTGCTGCTGACACACTCATCCATCCTGCTGCTGACACACTCATCCATCCTGCTGCTGACACGCTCATCCATGCTGCTGCTGACACGCTCATCCATGCTGCTGCTGACACACTCATCTATCCTGCCTGCTGCTGACACACTCATCCATCCTGCTGCTGACACACTCATCTATCCATCCTGCTGCTGACACGCTCACCCATCCTGCTGCTGACACACTCATCCATCCTGCTGCTGACACACTCATCCATCCTGCTGCTGACACACTCATCCATCCTGCTGCTGACACGCTCATCCATGCTGCTGCTGACATGCTCATCCATGCTGCTGCTGACACACTCATCTATCCTGCCTGCTGCTGACACACTCATCCATCCTGCTGCTGACACACTCATCCATCCTGCTGCTGACACACTCATCTATCCTGCCTGCTGCTGACACACTCACCCATCCTGCTGCTGACACGCTCATCTATCCTGCTGCTGACACGCTCATCCACACTCATCCATCCTGCTGCTGACACACTCACCCATCCTGCTGCTGACATGCTCATCCTTCCTGCTGCTGACACGCTCATCCATCCTGCTGCTGACACACTCATCTATCCTGCCTGCTGCTGACACACTCATCCATCCTGCTGCTGACACGCTCATCTATCCTGCTGCTGACACACTCATCTATCCTGCCTGCTGCTGACACACTCATCCATCCTGCTGCTGACACGCTCATCTATCCATCCTGCTGCTAACACACTCATCTATCCATCCTGCTGCTGACACACTCATCCATCCTGCTGCTGACACACTCACCCATCCTGCTGCTGACACGCTCACCCATCCTGCTGCTGACACGCTCATCTATCCATCCTGCTGCTGACACACTCATGCATCCTATTTGTTGACACGCTCATCCACCCTGCTGCTGACACGCTCATCTATCCTGCTGCTGACATGCTCATCCTTCCTGCTGCTGACACACTCATCCATCCTGCTGCTGACACACTCATCTATCCTGCCTGCTGCTGACACACTCATCCATCCTGCTGATGACACGCTCATCTATCCTGCTGCTGACACGCTCATCCACACTCATCCATCCTGCTGCTGACACACTCATCTATCCATCCTGCTGCTGAGACACTCACCAATCCTGCTGCTGACACACTCACCCATCCTGCTGCTGACACACTCATCTATCCTGCTGCTGACACACTCATCCATCCTGCTGCTGACACACTCATCCATCCTATTGTTGACACGCTCGTCCATCCTATTGTTGACACGCTCGTCCATGCTGCTGCTGACACACTCATCCATGCTGCTGCTGTGTTCCTTCACTGGTTGGAACTGGGATTCCAACACAGCCTGAAGACCAGCTGAGACATCCAGATTCATGGACCATCTATCCTGCTGCTGACATGCTCATCCTTCCTGCTGCTGACACACTCATCTATCCTGCCTGCTCCTGACACACTCATCCATCCTGCTGCTGACACACTCATCTATCCATCCTGCTGCTGACACGCTCACCAATCCTGCTGCTGACACACTCACCTATGGACTGGATTCTTGGCCTTTCCATCAGGAAATAGACATTGTTGGACTAGCTGAACTATAGTCTGCAAGCCAGGCAAATCCCATATATACTTTGATTCTATCAGGTCTGTTCCTCTAGAGAATCCTAACCAATACAACCAAGATCTTCAAAAACAGAGTCACCCTAGGGTGGTGGGCAGAGCCCAGCTGCAGGTACAAAGAGCAATTGGGCCCAAGGGGAGGCTTACCTGAGAACTGCACACAGCTCACGGCGACAGGCTCCTGGGCCACAGCAACCTGCCTGCTGAGGTTTCTGGGTAGGAAACTCTCCAAAGAATACTCCTTACTTCAAGGAAGGGCATAGCAAAAAGAAAAAAAACAAGAGATAAGTTCAAGAGAGATTAGAAATAAACTGGACATTAAGTTTATTTCCCTCTTCTTAGATAACCCTTTTACATGATTAAAGCTGAAAATCTATATAAACTCTTACAGTCACAATTGTGAACAACTCTTTAAACAGGTTTGTATTCCATATTGTCACATGTATCTCTGTGGGTCTGTGGGTGTTGTGAATGTGTGCAGTATGCATGTGTATGTGCAAGTACATATGTGTGTATGTGCAAGTACATATGTGTGCATGTGCATGGGGAGGCCAGAGGTCAGCCCCAGAAGCCATTCTTCGAGCTCTTATGTGGGGGCTAAGGGTGCAAATCCAGGTCCTCTCGTTTGCATGGCAGGTACTCTTAACCGCTAAGCCATCTCCGAAGCCCCTAGTTTCACACATCTATGGGTTGATATTATAATACTGACTACAGTACTCTTCGACTTACAGTGGAGTCATGGCTTGATAATCCCATCTAAGTGGAAAATGCCCTAAGCTGGAAATGCACTTCGCATACATAACTAGAGACATGCGGGGCTCCAGAGTCTCCTATGAACTTGTCCAGACACCCCACAAGCCACTGCAGGTGCACATACCCAATGCACAGTGACGACTCTGGGACTGGAAGGGTGATATAATGAGAGCAGTTAGATAAAGCAGGTCACTCTCATGAAGGAACATTGTGCATATGTGTTAAAGCATCACACAAAACCCCAGTAACAGGCGCAACTGATCAAGGTCAATCACAGACACTCAATGTTCCAGTAAGCATTTCTGTAAAAATCGTCTTTGTTCAAATATAGGTGTGGGGTACGTAAAGATGAGTGGTAAGTTAGGCAGCCCACAATCCCTCTTTTCATCATATTTCATATATGTTCATCATATATCATATTGAGTTCAGCCTGAGGCAAGTCCAAGGCCCCAAACTCTTTGTACATTCAGTCTGTGTCAGCAGCATGTCCAAGTCAGTGACCAGCGATGACCACTAAGAAGCTACACTGACTCTGCGACTGCCCCTCCGTCACCATGGAGACCTGAATGGTTCTCAGGGGTGGTCAGCTACCAGAAACAATACTTTTCTACAACTGCATTTTAGCAAAAACTCACTATTTCAAAACATAATAAAAAGAGCAGAATATCCAAAGAATTACTAAAATGAGACAACCACATTTGATTTGAAGGATGCATATTAATGGCATATTTGTATTCATATTTATGCATATAGAGACATATATCTGTTTAAAAATTCAAGAAAGCACTTTAAGAATGTTTCTAAGTTGCTTCAGATTTACTTAACACATGTACTCAATTACATACCATTTGTAATTGTTCTTGCATTTTGAAGCTCTTTTGCTATTATGCTTGATGTTAGTCTTTGGGGAAAACATAGTCGCACTGGAAGAAAAACACATATATACATATGTACACATCACTCTCAACAATTAGGACTCTAAATTGACATTTTACAAGGAAAAAATTAAACGTGTACAAACAACGTATTTTTTTTTCAGCTTCCTTCTGTTCTTCTTGAGTTCGAGAACAGTCACTCATCTGGACTCAGAGATGTCCCAATGCTACACACCTGCTCTTTGGTGACCCTATCTAATGCCTCTCACCTCAAAGTCCCAGGGCAGCATCAGGACCACCACAGCCTTGCACATCATCCATACTTAACCTCCTGGGTTAAAATACTGCGTTGTCCCTCTAATGCGTGAGTTTCCAACCCATCCATCTGCCATCACTCATTCAGGGGTATCTTCTCTGATCCACATCGTCATCTATGAGGCTGATGCTCAGAACTACCGTGTGCGATCAAACTTTAAAATTTCAACATACACCAATTTCATATTGCTCTAAGCAGATGTGTGGTTTGTGCTGGCTGTAGTCATGGATCTTATATGGCCAGTGGGTCACAGCTGTACACACCTGTGACTAACTGGTCCTTCTATTGATCCATCTTTCTCCCCATCTAGTGATCTCCCCGTCCATCCATCTCTCTACCCATCCATCCTTCCTTTTATCTACCTGGCATCGATTCATGGGTATCTTACTTGACAGTCTTAAGGAGCCAAATGCTGCCCTAAACACAGGTCTATAGAATAGACAAGTAACACACATCCACGGTTGTTGCCACTGGGGAAAGAAAGAGAGTGGGGAGGCAGGGAGGGCTGAGGAGGACGGTAGAGCTGCGGTCACAGACAGGATGGAGGGTCTCGAGGCTGAAGTGAGAGTGGATGGCCAAGAGTGAAGGTGAGCGCCAACTAGGGGACGACAGCACCCCGCCACAACCTCGTCGCATGCTGTAAGTGCGGAGAGCCCATGACACTCCAGACCCTGGGGCAACTTGGACTACTGTGTTAAAGACACACATGAGGTCTAGCTTTGAGATACGAGGCTGGTGTGACTATGTGTTATAAAGAAAAATAAATTTGCCTTTGAGAACTTTGAAGCCCTCGAAGGCCTGGGAAACCTCAAGACTTTGTGGCAGATTCTCCCATGATGCTTTGTGTTTTCTGGCCTATAAGTTAGCCTCACCAAATATCCTGATATGGCAACAAAGCTGCTGTAATCAAAGGGGTGTGGTCCAAGATGGACTCACTGATAGGTTACACAATCCCACCTGGCCAGCCTAAAAAACACGCATATGAGGGCTGGAGAGACGGCTCAGTGGTTAAGAGCACTGGCTGCTCTTCCAGAGGTCCTGAGTTCAATTCCCAGCAACCACATGGTGGCTCACAACCATCTATAATGGGGTCTGGTGCCCTCTTCTGGTGTGCATGCAGGCAGAACACTGTATACACAATAAAGAAATAAATCTTTTTAAAAATCACCACGTATGAGCTCAGCAGGCTATATTTATGAAATAGAGAGGAGAAAGGAGAAGAGGGGGAGGAAGGGAGGAAGAGAGAGAGAGAGAGAGAGAGAGAGAGAGAGAGAAAGAGAGGTCAGGCCATGGTGGGCTACCTCATTTTAATGAATCACCTTTTTCTACTTTTCCACCCCACCAGCTTCTCACTCACCACAACCAACCTTACGATTTAACCAGAGTACAAGGAGCTGAGCAGAGACCGAGGGCCAGTAAGAATTTAACAAGACCCTGCCGCCCTGTTCATGGTAGAAACCCTCCAGGACGCACTGGTGTCCACACTGAACCCCGTCTCCAGGGCATTCTTGCAGGTCAGCTCCACCACTGACAAACACGTGGTGGCTGGCACTTACTGCGGGGCTGATGTGTAGCCAGAAGACCTGATTTTAGTGTGGAAAACCAGGGGCCGGTCCTCGATGACACTCCTCACAGCTGTGTGACATGGTGAGAAGGAAGCAGCAAACATTAACATCACAGCATCACTGTCTCACAGAACCAGGAAAATTCTAACAAAACAGCCCTGTGACCTAATGAAACGAAGAGGCTCCGTGCAGAAGTCAAGCCAAGGAAACACAGCCAAAAGTTCATCAAGGAGATGAAAGGTACAAGAAAATAAGGCAAACTATACTAATACTAAACCATGTTATGTGTAACACCATGTATTTCTTTTTCTGTTTGTTTTTGGGATAGGGTTTCTCTGTGGAACAGTCCTGGCTATTCTAGAACTCGTTTTATACACCAGGCTGGCCTTGAACAGAGATTGGAATGCCACTCCCTCCCAAGTGCTGGGATTAAAGGCATGTGGTGCCACACCCAGAGAACAGAATGTATTTCAAATGCTTTTGGACTGTAGTCCAGTTCAGGGTCCCTGATGGACGAACACGACTAAGGTACACAGACTCTACCTGACATGAATTCCACTGAGGGAACAACCAAAAAGAACCATGGTGCAAATGGAGGCAGGCTGCCTGCCTCATAAATCAAATTCACGGACTGAATGACTTTTACGCCTCAGAACGGGGTGCCCCACATGATGGGGACCCTAGAAACACCAGGGAGGTTTAGTGCCTCGTCTAAACCAGGCCTGGAGATCTGGAAGAGGCTGAGCCAGTAGCCTGGGGGTAAAAGGCAAGGAACCGTGTGGATGTGATGAGTGTATACAGTAGGTGTCAGTGAGGAACCGTGTGGATGTGATGAGTGTATACAGTAGGTGTCAGTGAGGAACCGCGTGGATGTGATGAGTGTATACAGAAGGTGTCAGTGAGGAACCGCGTGGATGTGATGAGTGTATACAGAAGGTGTCAGTGAGGAAACGTGTAGATGTGATGAGTGTATACAGTAGGTGTCAGTGAGGAAACATGTGGATGTGATGAGTGTATACAGGTGTCAGTGAGGAACCGTACGGATTTGATGAGTGTATACAGGAGGTGTCAGTGGAACTGACTTGGGGGTGGGGCATCTTAATCTTAACTAAGTCAATCAAGAGACTTTGTGAGACCGTGAGTTTACATTGGTCAAGGAAGGGAAAACAATGGCACATTCATCGGCAATGATTCCCATTATATAAATAACTGGGACACCATGAATTATGCCGCCTTAACATGAAAGTTAACTTTAAAAATATAATTTGAAAAAAATCAATATGAGGACTATTTGGCTACAGTTTACAACAAACCAAGCAAAATCTACTTTTTCAGATAGACAATATTATTATATTATGGCCTTACTAATACAAGGAATTACTTCCAGTTGTGACAGGTATATTTGACCAGATGTTTCAGAAACACCCTGTGGTGTGCATGGGGCAATATCATGCTGTCCAACCACCCAGGGTTCGCCACAGGCGCCACTGCAACTGCCCCAGGAAATCACGGCAGTATGGAGACATGCCCTTGAGTTCCTGTGAATTATGACAAACTCAGCGGGGAGTATGGAGCGCATTCCCGACCAAAGGCAACGGGCGATAAATCTGAGAAGCAGCAGCACCGGATTCGCCTTTGGGCAAAGGTGAACTCACAAAGTGAGACAGTGAGGGGCGGTGTGTTTCGGAGTGTGTGACACTAACCGTGTCGTTTGGTATTAGCAGGCTTAGGAGCCTTTTCCTTAGTAATTCCAAAACACAGTGGGGAAGTTGGCAGGACACAGGAGCTAAAATAAAGACGAGCGCATTGTGAGAGCAAACAATGATTTGACAGAACTGTTACAGAGCAACAGACACTTTTAAGGACAGGGTAAGATTAACTCGGGCAATTACAGATTTACAATATTTGGAAATTAAAACTACCCACGGTCCTTATCTTTATGAGAAAAATACTGGCATACTTTAATAAAAGTACTGTTTTATAATTTACATTCTACTTTGAAATAAACTAGCATTTCACTTTAAATGAGCCATTTAGGGTTGAGTAAAATAAAATCATGGCATAAAAAGTTAGTTCTTTCATTGAGCGTCAGTGTGGTTGAGTTTCCAACGTTTGCCTGTATTTATTCACGTGAAAAAGATCTAAAATGCGACCCGCTGGTAAGCCCCACGCACAATATGCAGGAAGACTGTACCTTGCCAGCACGGAAAGTGTCCTTCCGGCACCAGGGCACCTCTGAGAGCTCAGCAGAGCAGACAGGTTGATTTCTAACATGGCGATCTTATTTCCAAACATAGAGGAAAGGATGCAAAATGCCTGTAGGACACTTAGAAGATTAGCAGCATGGCTGGACTGGGGCCTGTGGGTATGCCCCAACTCTCCTGTCACAAAGACAGCTTGACACTTAGATCTGCTTCACAGGTACAAAGAGCAGAGACCCGTGAGCAATAAGCCATAATTTCACAGATGAACGATCACCAAGACAGAGCACAGGGAAGTGCATTTGATGGACATGCCCGCAGCACAAGTTTCGCCACTCACCTTGGGGCTCCTGGCCTCACTCGTCACTGCACAGGATCCAGCAACTTGGACACTCAGGCTCTGAAAATCTTGAATGTTTGAGAGGTTGATGAATGGAAATAAGTGGCTGACTCATTTGTTCAGCCTAGCTGTAAGTACTACAATTAGTGTTCTCGTGCTATAAGATGTATACCTGGTAGAAAGGCCCACGGTTGGGGATACAGACAGGCTCTGTTCGGCTGGTAAGTAATCCGGACAGGGGCAAGAGCACAAACAAGCAAGGGATGACACTGTGGGTGCTGGCGGGGGTTTGCAGCCAGGACCCACGGCTGAGAGGAGGTAGAAATGACAGTGACACAGAGTCTCTGGGACAAGAAGCAAAGACAGGCCAGCTGAGGGACGGAGAGGCAGGAGGTGACAGGAAAGTCGCATTCTCAGAGGACACAGCAAGAGCAGGGTGTTGCGGGGAACGGAAGAGTGGGAAGGACCAAGCAGGAGCCCTGCCTACCTCCAACAGCAGGCACGCCACAGAATCTAAAGACATGGAGAATCCCCTGTAGGGGTGAGCCCCTAATACGGTCCACGCCCAAAGGGACAGGTAAGGATATAAAAGGAAAAGAGGAAGCAAAACTCTCTCTCTCTCTCTCTCTCTCTCTCTCTCTCTCTCTCTCTCTCTCGGAAGCCGGCCACGCTTCTCATCTTCCCAGCTTGAATGTAAGGGTTTTCACCTGTTGTTGAAGATATTTGTTTCCCGTTGCACTGATTATCTCTTTGCTGGTGTCAGAAGTGGGATGTGGACAGTATTGTGGGCTCACCCCTACGATCCCCTGTCTCCCACACAGACCCAACACAACTGGGACACACAGGAGCCTGGGGCTTCCGGGCAGGAGGAAGTATGGGTAAAATATTCCTGTCTTTCTTCCAGAGCTGGAGAAAACGGCTCCTCCTGTATGCTGTCTAGACCAGTGCCGAGTATTCAGAGTGAATTCCCAGCAGTACTGACAGAAGCACATGTGAGCAAAACAGCCTGTGGTACACGCCTGACACACGCAGGTGTCTAGGTGTCTGATACATGGGGCTGGGGGAGGAGAGGCCCACAGGCTCTCAATATAAGGAGAGCTTCTCAGGAGCCTGACACAGTTGAATCAAGGAGGACTCCACACAATCCTGACACACGAGGATAGTCGGAGGGCCTCACAGGAGCCTGAGAGACACTTGAGAGACGGAAGTGTTAGATGTTCTGAAGAGCAGAGCTGAAGCTGTGTCCTTCAGACTCCGCAGCAGGGAGGTTCCTGACCGTCTGAGCAGGTACTGTGTGTGGCTACTGACCGATAAACTTATTCCCTAATTCAAACGGTCAGGCTTTCTACCCCAAACTTTTTTTTACCCCAAACTTTTACTCCCCCATCTACCTCTTTTAAGAAAGCCAAGTCAAAGATTACTGAATTCAAGATCTCACCCTTGAAATGTAAAGCAGCTTCCAATTCAACGCTTGCCAGGTTAAATATGAATAGAGCTGTTGAGCTTCCAATCCACAGGCATCTGGTGCACTCAGAAGAAAATCTGAGAGAGAGAGAGAGAGAGAGAGAGAGAGAGAGAGAGAGAGAGAGAGAGAGAGAGAGAGAGAGAGAGAGAGAGAGAGAGAGAGAGAGAGAGTCTTCCTTCAGGTTAACGCCACAACATCCCCCAGCATTCCTGTTCCTCTGTACAGTAGGGACGGACTCACACCTGTGTGACTGACACAGAAGCTGTCCCCACCGACACTTCAGCTAGTCCCTTCTTATCCCTTAGTTATACTCGGGAATCAGGTGCTGAGTTTCGATGCAGCCACTCCTGTCTACTGGAAAACAAGTATCCCCGAGAGTCAGAGCATGGCCATGGCTCAATTCAGGGTGGTCTGTATTTTCTCCTGAGTTTACAAAAGCAGTTGACGGCTAAGACCTCCGAAGCCTGCCGATCACGTGAGGATCTAGGCACGTGCTCAGATCACTGTTGCCCGTGGCTATAGCAGAGGAGCGAGCTGCAGACAGCAGTGGGTCTGTGGGACACAGCCCAGTGGCCAGCAAAGCCACTCTGGGCGCTGGGTGCACCCTGGACAGGCAGAGCCCCGGGAGGGCTGCGTCCAGGACGCCCGCCCCTGGCTTCTGGTGTGCTTCCTCCCGCAGGATGCTGCCCTGTGCCTGCTGTATTGGCATGGTGTGGTGGTTACCGCATGAAGAGATCCCACTGTGTCTACTACAGAGTGGTTGTTTCTTGGGAAAACCCCACTCCTCGCTGGGCAGTTTACTCCAGTATGGCTCGAATAAAACTGGCACAATTTACTAAATCTAAGACTGAAAATCGCAACTTTAGGAACACGGTCAGTAATGATAAGAGACACAAGACTTGTGTTTACTCCAACCGTTCATAAAACTGAACTTGAGGCTCACGTAAGGTTAGTGGCCCGCGGCTCTGGCCCTGTCCCCCCGTACGTACGCTGCACACTGGGAACCCTGCAGGCAGAGGTCACACTGCGCCAGGCTCAGGACCGGGAATGCTGCTTCAGCTTCTCCCCTGGCATTCGCCTCGTGTCTGGAGTGGTACCGGCTGTCCTCTAGGAACAGAGTTATTGGTTACCTAAGGAGCAAAGCTGCTTAGCCATCAGTTAAAAGAACAGACGCAGAGAAGCCTCAGAAATACGTGTTAGCAGAAAGAATCGTAAACCAGAAAAGCATTGACTTTGAAGACTAATAAAATAAAATAAAGCTAAAAATCAAAGGGAATCCTAGATTGAGTCTACAAGGGATGAGGAAGGGGGGAAAGAGGCTGTCGATGCAAAGAGGTCAATGCCACAATTCGTAAAATGGACCTAAGCTGTAGTAGAGAATGAGCGACTGTTTATAAAAAAATAAGAAAAATCGTGGCTTAATATATTTGGAGAAAAAGACATACTGCTAGGACAGTAATTTCTTACCTAATTAAAAAAATCATTTAAAGCCATATCAAAAATATAAACTAAGGAAGGAATATCCATAAGAACAAATATATAGAACAGGAAAGTTACAAGGAAACTAACACCCACACACATGATAGCTCCACCATCACTAAGAAAAGACGCCATCACTCCTTGGGGCATCTAGAGCAGGCGAGTGGAGGTGTGGAGGACACAGATACGGACAAATGGGTGCATTTTGGGCAGCGTAGCTGGTGAGGAGCTTAGGGGAGTAGGTTAGGACGTGGAAGCACAGCCTGAGACCTGAAGGAGGAGATGGGTCAGCATTTGAAAAGGAAACGAGGAAACACCCTGAGGACCAGGTGCAGGTTTCCTCAGATGCTCCATTCAGGTGGCGGCTGTGGGCCCGCCCCCTTGAGCTCCAGCTCTGATGACAACCCGAGGGTTTCTGTTCTCCCATTCTCTGAGTCCTGTACTCCACACAGCACTGTGAGCCAGCCTCCAGCCCCGGGGCACTGAACCTATGGGGCTTGGTGGTGTCAGAAGCCAGGACCCTCGGCCTCTCCCAAGTCAGAAACTGGTCTTCCTCCCCACCCCGTCCAACGGAGATCCTGATGTGTGCCCCGAGGTGCTGCGGGCGTGCGGGCGTGCGTGCATGCAGGCGGGCGGGCGGGGGGCCTGTGGGGCACACGGAGCACACCTGGCCGCCTGTACTGCCCAGCCATCATTCTTCGGGTAGAGAAAGTCTCGCTTTTCTTCCTTAGGTCCACGTGTGCCACACAGTGGTAGTGATGTCTCTCCACCAGGCTAAAGATCCACAGCTGCAAAAGCAAAATGTGTACACGCAGATCTCTTTCAAGAAGTGATACATAACAAAAAAAAAAAAAAAAAGGCTGGAGAGATGGCTCAGAGGTTAAGAGCATTGGCTGTCACTCTTCCAGAGGTTCTGAGTTCAATTCCCAGCAACCATATGGTGGCTCACAACCATCTGTGATGAGATCTGGCGCCCTCTTCTGGTGAACAAGCATACATGCAGGTGGAACACTACATATATAATAAATAAATAAATCTCTAAAGAAGTGACACACCCATAGGAAAGAGGGGCAAAGCAGACAGGCAGCGTCACACGTGCTCCTGGGTTCTCCCAGACGCTTGGGCTGTCCTGAGTGTTGCTTTTAGCCCCTCCTTGAAAGCAGCACAGTTTCTGAGAAGGTGCATACAAGGGGGAGAACTTTAGGTCAGACACGGCTGTGAGTCACTGTCACACAGAGACACCTATGGGGCCCCAAGGTCACTGACACCTACACAGCATGTGCTGCAGACTTTGGGCCACGAACTCTTCTACCAAGTTACTGGGCCCTAGCACACAGGAAAAATGGCAGCTGAGCTTAAGGGGAAAAAATAAACTGCCTTAGCTTCCCAACGTACAACTTCATCATATTTACATCAACAGTGGCTTTATAAAATAAACCTAGAGTGCTTGCATTAAATTTTTTTAAATCGATAGCTTCAGTTTTAAAATCATCTGATGCTAACAGCTGAGCAAGTGGTTCTAACTCTTGCCATGTTCAAACACTGCGTGTCATTGCTAGAGCGCACAGATCAAGCTCCCTGCTGCAGACCAAAGGCCTCCAAACCCCACCACGCCCACCACAGTGCTGAGATGTGCATCTAGACATGCCAGGTGACGACATGAAACAGAGGCCTTGCACACGCTCAGGAGGAACTGCAAAGGGGTCTCACCTGGCCATCAGTGCTGCCAGTGACCAGCTGCCGGTTTTCTTCATTGATATGCAAACTCAGGAGAGGGTAGGCTGAGAGGGAACACAGGACATTCAGTATGGACAGTGCTTCTTCTGGTTGATTTAGCACTATCTGAATCTTTATACCGGGAGGCAAGAATTATAAATGAATGTAAACTTGGAAACATTCATGAGCAATACAGGAAAAAGGGATGTTGTACCAAGTAAGAACGGTGGGTAGACAGATAGGCAATAGACAGATGATAGATAGGATGGAAGGATGGATGGATGGATGGGGGGATGGATGGATGGACGGATGGACGGATGGACAGACGGACGGATTTAAAAAAGAATCATGGGTATAGTTGGCGGATCCTGGTTAGTTCCATACCATCTGCCCACACTGAGCAGGTCCAGGGGAACTGCCGGTAGCCTGAAGGAAGGAGTATAGCTCAGCTAGCATTTTAAACAGGCAAAGAAGCTCCTATAGGCTAAAACACAATGGCATCATAGACTTAGTGGTAAAAAACGGCAGCTAACTGATGTCTTACAAAAAATAAACAAAAGATCTTCCGAAAATTTAATTTTAGTTAAAATATAGTCTAACCTATCAATTATTTGGAACAACTAGATAAACAGAGGCTGGGAAACACCATATGTCCTAATTAAGCTATAAATGACACTCATGATGAGTCTATATCACAGTCTGCAATTGTGTCCTGCAATCCAATTGTTCCACAACACTGTCTTCAGGAAAATTCAACAAACATCCAGAAAATGTGCTTCAGGCCCAAGCATGGTGAACAGCTCCAGGCTGTCAGAACACAATATTCTACATGTGGGTAACTGACCTAAAAATGCTCAATCTTGGAAAGACACAGCAGTGACTCTAGCCGGACACCAAGGCATCTGCTTGTAGGCGGCGTTTCCATGGGGCATCTCGGAGGAAAAGGAAGACCCCCCTAACGTCGGCCATCCTGCTTTCATCGCAACACTGACGCACACATGTCGGGATGCGGGAAGAACTCCAGATGCAACCCATGAGATGCAGGGAGGAAATACGGGGCGGGGCCCCAGGTGAAATGGTCCCCTGGCTCACACTCAACCTCCCAGGTTCCAGGAGAGTCAGGCCATAGAAACTGGTCTTTCCTCTGAACAATCAGGTGTTGGTCCCATTGCCCACCAAAAGGACAATTTGATGGAAGAAATAATTATTCTAAAATTCTTAGGATGGACAAATGCTTCCAGCCTACCCAACGACTTAACCTGCTCACCAGTCCTCCATTTTCTGGTGAGGAAGGTGTCCCCTCCAGACTTTTCCAGCTCTGGGCTCTCCACAGGACAGCAGGGGCCCTGTCTCAGGCACTTTATCTGAGAGCCAACCTGCTCCACACACTTACCTGAGAAAGATGCCAAATGTATGGGGGGGGTAAAATCCTCAGAGACAGTAACTGAAAAACTCACCCACTCTGTACACAGAAGGAATCAGAGTTGACGGCTGCACACAGAGGAGGCCAGTGATTCTGACTGTCACACGTCTATCCCTGGGGTGATAGTCACACTGGGAGAGTCTGAGTCTGTTTACACAGCCAACTAAGCTAGAATGTAAAACAGTCTTTGATTTACCTGTTAAAATGGATGAGCTGTATATCAAGGATCCCTCACAATAGTCCCAGACCTTTAAATGAAACACATTCCTTTAAGAGACGTAAAATGATGCTATTATTGCTAAACCAGAACTAAATTTTAAACAATTAAAAATTCATCTGTATAAATAACAATTAAAGAATTAAGACTCACGTGGTGAGTCACTGCACTATTAAAACCCAAGGGCTGGAGAGATGGCTCAGCCATTAAAGGCTAGGCTCACAACCAAAAACCCAAGACTTCAGAGTAATGAGAACATCCAGACCCTTCCAAAGATGACCACTTACGGGTACCCAACAGAGAGCAATTCCTGGGCATATAGTCAATACTCTAGTTAGTAGCTCAGTGAAGAAGAGCTGCGTTCCAACTATGACAGTCACACGTGTTTGCTGTACCCACTATCCCTTCTATGGTGGGCACAGCTCCAAGGACATTCCAAAGTATCAACTCTCTTCATTCTCATGACCACAAGTGTGTCTACTTGAAATATAAAACTGAAGGGCAATGTGGTTACCCAAGTATGGCAACTTGGATTTCTGCCCCAACAGCTGCTGATCCCCTCAGAGAAGCCAGGACCCACTGGGTCTCATTGGGTAGGTATTCTAAAATGACTGTAGAATGGATTTTCACAACTTCTGTGGTTTGTGACTTCCACCTTTCCTTTTAGGACAATGACAAGTGCCCACCCTTTGTTAATAAAATCATAGTAACACTAGCTAACTTGGGGCTGCTCAGAAGTGAACCTGCATATTGTTTTATATTTTCGGAAGCTTAGTTTAGTTCTGGTTGAATTCTCTTGCTGGGGACACTGGATCCTTGGCAATTAGGAAGCACTGCAGGTATATATTTCCCTCTCTAGATTTAGATGTAATAAAAGTCCCCAGAGTTGTCCAATGTCCAAATATTGACGACCCAAGAAACGCACCAAGGAGTATCCAGCCCTACCAGAGCATCAAAACTCCACTTTTGTGTGGGTGAGGAAACAGCCTCATCCGGTGAGTGCTTTAAATTGTATTCACTTTTATTTCATATGTATGTGTAATGCATGTATGCAGTGTCCACGGAGGGCACAATGAGGCATTGGATCCCCTGGAACTAGAATTCTAGACAGTTGTGAGCCCCTGAGTGGGTGCTGGGAACAAAGTCCTGGTCCTCTGCAGGAACAGTGGTGTTCTTAACCACTGGTCCATCTTCTCTCCAGCACTGCCATGCTAGTATTACAAGGGAAAAGCCCTGCATAGCAGTAGCAATCCAACTGTAGCAGGCAGATATGCCCACAGCATCCCTATGTCTGCACCATCCCTATGTCCACAGCATCCCTGTGCCCACAGCATCTCTATGTCCACAGCATCCCTATGCCCACAGCATCCCAATGTCCACAGCATCTCTATGTCCACAGCATCCCTATGTCCACACCATCCCTATGCCCACAGCATCCCAATGTCCACAGCATCCGTATGCCCACAGCATCCCAATGTCCACAGCATCCCTATGCCCCCAGCATCCCTATGCCCCCAGCATCTCTATGTCCACAGCATCCCTATGCCCACAGCATCCCTATGTCCATAGCATCCCTATGCCCACACCATCCCTATGTCCACAGCATCCCTATGCCCACAGCATCCCTATGCCCCCAGCATCTCTATGTCCACAGCATCCCTATGCCCACAGCATCCCTATGCCCACAGCATCCCTATGCCCACAGCATCCCTATGTCTGCACCATCCCTATGTCCACAGCATCCCTATGTCCACAGCATCCCTGTGTCCACAGCATCCCTATATACACAGCATCCCTGTGTCCACAGCATCCCTATATACACAGCATCCATGTGCCCACACCATCCCTATGTCCACAGCATCCCTATGTCCATACCATCCATGTGCCCAAACCATTCCTATGGCCCCAGAATCCCTATGTTGACAGCCCTGCTGCCCACCTTAAAGCTTCTGTCTTCAGACACAGAGATGAGGATGTGTGCTTGCCAGGAACAGAACTCTACTGCCGTCACTGAGCCTTGATGGCCCTGCAGCTCTACCAGCACAGACTGCTTCTAGGAGGATTTTTAAAAGGTTATTCATGGAATTCTCTAGAATGATCAATATCAACAAATCACAGTGTGCCACAGAAAGGAGAGCTTGTTGAAATAAATTCTACAAGGCCAGACAAAGGGCTCTGGAGGCAAAAGGCCCTTGCCACCAAGCCTTTAAAGAATAAATTCTATTTTATGCATCCTTCCTTTCAAATTTGGACCTACCCTACCCATATCATCTTAGAAGTTACAAATCTGATGCCCTAGCTCTGAGGGAGGTCCATCATTAGTAAGGAAAAGATAAGAAGCAGTCAAATATGACCAGTTACTAAACAGGGGGCTGGTATCTCCTGGATTTCCTGTTCTCTGTGGTTCTCTCCTGACAGATTCTCCTCAACATACAGTTCAGAGTGGAGGTAAGATACTGTGGTCTTTTACTATCTACTGTCCCTTTATATCTGTTTCTTTCACCTATCCCCTCTCTCTCTCTCTCTTTCTCTCTCTCTCTCTCTCTGTGTGTGTGTGTGTGTGTGCGCGCGCGCGTGCGCGCGTCTGTGTATTGTGTATGTGTCTGTGTGTCTGTGTGTGTCTGTGTGTACGGGTCTGTGTGTGTATGTGTATGTGTGTGTGTACGTGTATGTGTATGTGTGTGTAGCTCCCAGCTATTGCTCCAGGGCCATACATACATACATACATGATAATAGACTAAGCCTCTGAAAAGTATCCCTGACACAAATACATGTTAACACCAACTCTAGTATCTTATCAATTACAAGATCAAGATGTTTTCTTTGGATCCCCCACCCCCAACATCTTTACAAACTGCATTGAACCAAACTGCCATTTTAAAAACGGAGGCAAGAATGATATTCACCAACAGGAACCCGGCCTGGACGGGGCCACCCAGTGCGTCCTCGGCACCTCCCCAGGGTGTCATCTCACCTCCACATCCATCACGCATATTTTGCTTCCAGCACACACTGCCACAGCACGGTCGTCCAGGCTAAATCTCAAACACAGCACTGTTTGCAAAAGGGAGCCCAGGGTAGTCCCTCGAGGAGTCAGCCCTAGAGCAAATTCCACGTGTTAGTGTCAGAAGAGTGGGTCCTGCACAGGTCTCTGCTCCAGAGCAGCAGGCAGAGGAACGACAGCTGGGGCGTGACAGGTGAACACAGTGTCTAGTCTCAGGCAGTGTGCGCAGTACAGGACCAAGGTCATAAAGAAACTGGTCTGGGGGGGGGGGGCATGGACACCCAGAAGAGCCGCACAGAGCACGCTCTTCGCCCAGCACTTCTGTGCTCGCTGCCATCCAGGCTCTGCAGCGACAAGCTCTGACCAGTGCTGGGGACAGCCCGCCGTGAGAACTCTGACCTCTTACCACCAAGACAACATCTCCATGGCAGCCTGCAAATCATGTGCAGAGAGAGGACACAGTGCCTGCCCTCTGCCCCGAGCCTCAGAAGCCACTGCTGATTACCAGGATGTGTCACCAGCCAAACGAAAGACCTGATGTGTGGTGGTTAAGCTTGGTTGTCAACCTGACTACATCTGGGCCATTTGAGGCGGGGAGACCAGCCCTCAATGTGATCATTTGATGCTGCAGGACTTACCCTCACCCTAGAATAGGCCTTCAGTGACAGCCACGCAAAGGACATGGAAGAAGGGAGGTTTCACTCTGTGCCTGCGTGCCCTCACTCCTGCGGGCAAATTCATCTCCCCTGTTGCTGGGCATTCCTTTTCTATAGAGCCTACTTTGTGGGGGACTCTCAGACAGACAGAAGACCAGCATCTCTCCAGGAACTCCATGAGACTCCACACCAAACTGCGACTGGTGAGACATCCAGTTCATGGACTGAACTACCAGATCCTTGGCCTTTTAGCAGATAGCCAACATTGATCTACTGGGAACACAGCCTATGAGGTGTGGTAATACTCACACACACACACATACCACACATACACCACATACACTCACATACCACACACACTCACACACACCACACACATACAACACACACACCCCAACACACCACACACACTCACACACACATACCACACATACACCACATACACTCACATACCACACACATACCACACACACGACATACACACACACACCACACATACACCACATACACTCACATACCACACACACTCACACACACCACACACATATAACACACACACCCCAACACACCACACACACTCACACACACATACCACACATACACCACATACACTCACATACCACACACATACCACACACACACACCACACATACACCACATACACTCACATACCACACACACTCACACACACCACACACATACAACACACACACCCCAACACACCACACACATTCACACACACATACCACACACACCACACACACACATACCATACACACCACACACACATACCACACATACACCACACACACTCACACACACCACACACATACACCACACACACCCCAACACACCACACACACCACACACCACTCACACACACATATACCACACACACACATACCACACACACCACACACACTCACATACCACATACACTCACACACACCACACACACCCCAACACACACACATGCACCACACACATCACACACACACACACACCATACACACTCATACACCACACACACCACACACACGTACACCACACACATCACACACACACCATACACACTCATACACCACATACACACCACACACACCACACACACATACGACACACACACACACAAATTTTCATTGTACCAGTTATCTGTATTTCATTCTCTCAGCTCCGATCCTTTAGGGAACCCTGACTAAAGCACTACGAGGAGAGAGAGAGGGAGAGAGAGAGAGAGAGAGAGAGAGAGAGAGAGAGAGAGAGAGAGAGAGAGAGTGTGTGTGTGTGTGTGTGTGTGTGTGAGACAAACAAAATCACTCACTCATGGGCGTGCCTGATCTCTCACAAGCACCTGTGTTAGGCTTGCTATGGCAGCCTCTCTGCAGCATCTGCAGGGTAAGCCCCCAACTAGACAGACCTCTGCCTTTGTTGGAAATTAACATGCAGGAGGAGAAGATACAGCACAGTTAACGCAGGAAGCAAAACATATAGATGAGTTACATGGAGGATCAGTTACGGCAGTCCACATAACAGGCGTGCCGCATATAAGAGGGCGTCGGGAATAAGCAGCAAAGCGCCTGTGTGCAGACCCAGGGACTCGGCGGCACTGGCCGTGACTAAGACGGAGCTAAAGCAGAGCCCTGGAAGGGCTGCGCCCCCCAGGCTGATGGTGGAGCCTGCGTGCGCGGTTCATTCTCCTCACGGGCTTTGAGCAAATGCTGGACAGAAGCTGACTAACTTTGAGAGTGCCCTCGGGCTACTGAGTTGGGAATTGAATGCAGGCGTGGAAAGGTCAAGGCAAAGGAAGAATGCTACAAGTCCATGTCAGAATCCAGAGGAAGGATTTGGTAGTTTGTGCCTTTAGCAGCTACAGATGTGTGATTGGTGCCCAAACGTGAGACAGGGTTTGAGTTAAAACAGATGGGACTCAGCAATGATTGGATAGGAGTGAGCTGAGGGCCTAACCTGAGCAACTGAAGAATGGAGCTCTGGTGAATCCAGACAGAGAGAAGGGGAGAGGGGGTCCCTGGGGCAGCAGTGGCAGTGCCTGCCATCTTCAGTGCTCTTAGACAGACAAGGAGTTTCTAACGGGGAAATACCTGGAGGCTAAATTACCAGGAGCTCCAGACAGAAACAAAGGGGTAAGCCATCAGCACATGAATGGTCAAATAACATCACCAAGGGAGTGATGGGGAAAAAAGAAAAATCTGCATTTTGGTGAGAAGATGTAAGAAGAGGAGAGAGAGCCAAACAGCCAGCAGGTTCTGAGGGTGAGACTGACTACACCCACTACCGTAGAGTCAGCCAACCACAGCCTCCTCTCCTCCACGCACAACCCAAACAGCAGACCCAGAGGCTTAGTGAACACAGCTACCCCCAACCCTGTGCGTCCAGGAACCAAGTACAATTAGGGTCCAATTCCTGTACAGACAAGAGAGCCACACTGAGAGCTTATAGCTTCCAGGAGCTACTCTCCCCTCAGACCCATAATGCAAGTTCATCCTCACCTCCAGGAGCTTCCGCACAGTGAACTGGACATGGAACAATCCGTTGTGGACTGTGACAGTCTCCAAGAGAGCACTAGTGCTGTGATTCAGAAAGAAGCTTCTACCCAGGAACAGACCACCACGCATCAACATTCATGTGAGGAGCCTAAAGCACCATGTAACTGTGAACACGGGACAGCGAAAACCTCAGAGAACACTTTGTGACACAGACTTCTGTGGACCTACAGCATCAGAAACACAGCCACTTTAAAACAGAGGACCGTGTATCCATGGCCTCGGGAGTACAGCTCCTCTAACACAGGGGCCATTGAGCAACAGCCTGAGAAGTGCAGTTCTTCTTAATGTATAAATGGCAATGGCAGCACACCAGCCTGTCTTCTGATAAACTGATGTACCCATCAAAGCAAAATGCAGAGCTCCCAACTGTCCCTGGAGCTGCAGATCTGCCTGGTCCCCGATGCTGGCACAGCCTAACCACCGTCTGCCTGTCCACTTACTCCGTCCCTGCTGTTCCTGCTCAACCCTGCTCTGCCCTTTCCCCTTGCAGCTCAGCACAACTCTTCGTCTTCCCCCTTAACCCTAACTCTGCAGCAGCACCTTCTTCCCTGAGGCTGGTTTTGGCTCCTTATCTTAGCAATACAAGCTCTGATTACATATCTATCAGTCCACTTCTAAAACCTCTTGAGCTCTGCTACAGCCTCTTTAACTCCTATTCATTCTGTAACTCGGATGGATGCATGGATGGATGGATGAGTGGATGGATGGATGGATGCGTGGATGGATGCATGGATTGATTTACTGTCTGCTGTATGATATGAAAGTTAATACCAGTTGTTAAGATTGGAATAAAAGAGCATGCATTGACCTCAGCTAGGTTACAAGGTAGAAGGCATTGTCTGGAAATTGCTGGCTATGTTTCTGGCATACTTCACTCATACCATTGAGGCATAAGCTGTTATACTATTCTGCGGTTATCTGGCATCACTAAGCATGTCCTATAAACACATACCTGGGTTGTTGTCCCATCTGAGCCATCAGCCTCAGCTGCGTGTGACGGCTCTCATAGCATACTTTCTCGGTCTCTGCCAGCTAGGCCCTTCCCACCCACAGTCTCCGCAGCCATATCCTTTTGTCCCTATCCCAGACCCCAGCTGAGTCTCCCATCCCCAATCACTTGTCTGCAGGAGTCGCCTGGGTGAAAACATGCTATGTTTGCAACGTGAAACACAGCAAACACCTAGTTGCCTATGCATGAGGTAGGATGCTCCAAACTGCCCCGACCCTTTGAGGTCTAAATATCGATATTCATAATGAGAAAATGAAGAGGAAGAAGAAGAATACCAACAAGCCTCTGCATGCACATCTCACACACCAAAGGTCAGTGGGACTAAGTGTCAAGGTACACTTAGACAGCTGCAACACTGAAGGGACTTAAAAAGGTCCGACCCCCGACATTGCAAGTGTGCTTATAGAGATGATTCATTCCCTGGGCGGTGCTGGGCTTAAACCCAGTCTCCTCCATGTCTAAATCAGGGCTTCTGTTGCCTTGATAAAATGTGATGGCCAAAAGCATGGGGATGATGACAGGTTTATTGTGTCTTACGGCTTCAAGTTCATCGTCCAGGAAAGTCGGGGCGGGAATGCGAGAGAGGAACTGAAGCGGAGTCCATGAGGGGACACTGATTGCAGGCTTGCTTCTCATGGCTTCATCGGTTTGCCTTCTTATATGCCCCAGGATCACCTGCCTGCAGCCACACCACCAACTGTGGTCTGGGCCCTCCTGTATCAATCGCCCAGCAAGAAAATGCCCCACGTGTCTGCCTAGAGGCCATTCTCATGGAGGCTTTTTCTCCGAGGCCAGGGTTCCCTTAGATGACTCTGGGCGCTGAAAAGAGACTCACAGGCAAGCGCTCTCCCTACTGCTCAGATGCATCACCAGCCCCTCTGCATTCGACTGTCGCTAACTGGGCTTTGCATTTCCTTTACCTTCAAGGGTCTTCTCCCTACATTGGTCCACATTCCACACTACAATACAATCCTGGGAAGCAGAGCAGAGTCGAAGTGGGTCTGTTTGATTTCCAAAAACCACTGCAGTAATCAACTGGCGGTGTCCTTGTAAGGTGAGAAACTAAAACAAAAATACAAACAGGTTACTTATAATATCATCAAAAAATCTATAGAAAGCAACATCATTTCAGACCTAGGCTTTTAAATGTGTTTGTTACAGGTGCTGACTTTTTTTTTTTTTTTTTTGGTTTTTACGAGACAGGGTTTCTCTGTCTTGTTCAGGGTTTCTCTGTCTTGTTTCGGAGGCTGTCGGTCCAGCCCAGCCTCGAACTCACAGAGATCCACCTGCCTCTGCCTCCCGAGTGCTGGGATTAAAGGCGTGCACCACCACCGCCCGGCCAGGTGTTTACTTTTAATTCATTAAAATTCCTGCATACACTGGCTGCTATCATACATTGTTACAACGTTACTCGATTCTCTCCCTTACTATGAATGTTAACAAATGTGTACTGAGTACTCAATGGATGGAGAGAAGGTGCTGTTATGCTGGCAGCTCCGGAGAGGGGAGCTGGCAGAGGATGAACACATTTGGGCTATTAGACAGCAGGGCGTACGGAAGCTCTGCTGACTCCAACAACAAGTGAAGTTGTAGGGTGTGTAGCTTGAGACTTCTGCTGACACTGCAAAAGGAGGCTGGATAGCAAACATGCCAGGAAACTGGAAACCAGTACTCAAGTGCAAGCAGAGGGATGCTGGGGCATATTTATGTATGAGTATGGAGGAGAGGCCGGCAATAAGAACTCGTGGGCTAGAGAAATAGCAATCCTGTTGTAGGAGAGAGGGGATGAACAAGCTCCCTGTGGGCAAAGGGAAAGGGAAAGGCATGCAAATGGAGACCGGGCAAGGTGCCAGGAGCCCTTTGGGTTTTTTTGGAAGCTCAAGTGCACACAAGTTGACAGCAGGCAGTTTGGGATAAGAGGTCTTATTGGACAGGACAAGAAACACTCTGCTCCTGGTAGCATAGGCTTGTCTGTCTGCACACGAGTCTAGGTGAGAAAGGTGAGAAGGCTTTTCTTGAAGGCATCAGGACACTGGAAAACCATGATATCCAGGGAAGAAGACTGAGGAAGTGATTACAGGATCGGTAGGCAGTGATCTCATAATGACATCACCCGCAAGGGCTGGGGGCTGTAGCCCAGGTAGAGCATTTGCCTACGATCTGTAAGGGTCTGGTTCCAATTCCTAGTACTCGCAGAAAGGAGGAAAAGCTCCCTCAGAGGGGATTGTCAGACATTCTGTAAAATGATGCTGAGAACCTTAGACATTATGAAAGACCTAACGATATAAACAAATGCATCCTTTTCAAGAACACATCAGGAGTCCCCTTTAGGAGGAGGGACAGGGCATCGCTCTGCCACAGCTCACGGTTGACTCCACGGACGCTAACGTTTCCAGAATATGCAAGAAATGGAGAGGCAGGGCAAGGTCTCTGTGACCCTGGATCTAACGAGAGCACCCTTGGCTTGTGACCTGCCTGTTGAGAAGGGTCCCTAGGGCTCCACACACAGAGATGGTTTCCATCCAAAGGAAAAGCACAGTGCTGTGTGCTGCAAGCGAGAGGAACGTGAGCTGTAGACTTGTGGGACTCAATCAGGTATCTTTCTGCCACTATGCCCCTTGTGGGGCCATCCGTGGAGGTCATCTCCGGAAGCCTTTCCATTATCAGTCTGAAAATACAAAGCATATGTAAGATTAGGTGAGGTGGGCATTGGTGGCACACGCCTTTAGTCCCAGCACTCTGGAGGCAGAGGCAGGTGGACCTCTGTGGGTTCGAGGACAGCCTGGTCTACAGAGCGGGTGCCCGGACAGCCTCCAAAGCCACAGAGAAACCCTGTCTTGAAAAAAACAAAAACAACCCCCCCCCAAAAAAAGTAAGATGAAGGCAGGTACAGCAGGAAAGTCGAGTTGATTAATCACTATTAGCATGAGTACACATATCACCCCCACCACCCTCAAAAGGCAAAAGATACCAGTGAACAGGGAATGACCTCTAGTCCTTTCCCACAGGCCTTCCTCCACCTTCTGGGTCATTTTCAGAACCGTGAAGGTGAACAGTCACCTTCCAGTGACCTGGCCTGAAGGAGGACCCTACACGAGTGAGGTAGTAATTCAAATGTAATTGATCCCCATAGGCTCACAGGGAGTGGCACTATTAGGGGGTGTGGCTTTGTTTAAGTAGGGATGGCCTTGTTGGAGGAAGTGTGTCACTGTGGAGGTGGGCTTTGAGGTCTCACGTATGCTCAAGCCACGCCTAGTGTCTAGACCACTTCCTGGTGCCTGCCAGTCAAGATGTAGGAACTCCCAGCTCCTTCTCCAGCGCCGTAGCTGCCTGCACGCCACCACCTCAAACCATGATAATGAGGGACTAAACCTCTGAGACACCCAATTAAATGTTTTTCCTTTAGAAGAAGAATGCTGTGGTCATGGTGTCTCTTCATAGCAATAGAAACCCTAACTGACACAAATAGAGTTGGTGATAAACTCCAGTAAGAACCAGGAACCCCCAGAGCAGGCCTGGGATGCATCAAAATACCCCAATACTCTGCGATAGACGTTGGGTTGTTGTGGCTACATCATCTGCGTTTCGTGGCTGCCTCACCACGGATATTTTAACAAAAAAAAGTTTCAGATATTTTATTTACTAAATAGTTTAGTGAACATGACCAGCTTAGACCCACTGTCACTAGGCTAGAGGAATCCTTGATGGCACTCATCCCCACAGATTTTGAGGCAGGTGATTTCCGGTAGTCACGATGCTCACACCTCTCTGTAAACAGAGCAGGTCATGTCCTGGCCCATCCTTTAAAACTTTGTCATTGGAAGGAAAAGATGTCTCCAAGCACAAACCTTCTGAGGACTACAAACAGTGGGATTTAAATAAAACAGAGAGTAACTGATTTCTGGGCCAGTAAAACTGGACCCTAGATGCTCTGTCATGTGTGCTGGCTGAATGGCCATGTCTGATGAAATCAAGTGCACCTCTTCCTACGGCGTCCATTACGACAGGTGTTTCCCATTTACATTCATGTTTCTTTTAAAATGCAACATAGTGTAGCCGGAGACTGTGGGAGCAAATGTTGCTGTCTTGTGTTTATGGACATGGCTACGCCTGTCGGACTGCCTTCTGAGTATCTGTTTACGCTAGGGGTTGGTGGCTACTCTCGGCTTTGCTCGGGGAAGCTTCCTTGTGCAGTGAGCAGCAGTCGCTGCAGAGACTAAATATAAGTGACTGTTGATTGACCAGCCATTCGTGAGACATTGGCATTACTCCCTCAGGACCCAGGGAGCATCGCCGAAGGAGGAGAGGAAAGAAGGTAAGAGACAGCGGGAGAAAGGGGTGCAATGCTGTGGAACACTCTTCCAGGCAGGGCGTGGAAAATGCCTCTTGAGTCCACAGCATCTGTGATTACCTACATAAAAGTGAGTCTGTCAAAGACTCTGTCGTGGAGGGGGGGTGGGATGAACCCCTAATGCTCCCTTAGGATCTATAGCCAATTTAAAGTTAGTGGTTGCTGGGAGAAAAAGAGGCGTTTTCTTTGGTGGCGACATCACTGGTTAAGGTGCCCACATTCCCTTAAACAGCCCTTTACCCATGTTCCTGTGAATACTAATTGGATAGCGAAAGAGGAAAAAAAGTAGTATGAAAAATAGGATGGCTAATTGGGAAGAGGATTGGGATTAGTCAGGGTGAGAGACGTGAATGATCAAAATGTATTGCATACATGTGTAAAATGTCACACTGAAAATTGTCACTGTCTAATACACGCAAATAAAAACATTTTAAACGTGTGGGGGGGCGAGCATCAGTGACTGTCAAGTTTTCGAATACAATGTGATCAGTCACCTCACATTCCTGCTGTCCCCAATATTCCCTCCGTTGTCATATTGCACATGTCCCAACATCCCCACCTCCCCTCGTGCCTCTTCTCCCATCCCCATGGTCCATTTCTGGTTTCCAGGTCTCTACAGACATTCCAGGTTACACAAACAAATCCAAGAAATAAAAGCTATAACCCATGTCAGAGGACATGGAGTGTTTGACCTTCAGAGCCTCCGGTGCCTTAATGCATTTTCCAGTTCCATCCATTACTCTGCATAATTCATGATTTCCTTTTTTCTTTACAGCAGAATGAAATTCTGTTGTGCATGTGCACCACGTTTTTATTATCCTTTCATTGGTGAACGGGCATCTAGGCTGATCCCATTTACAGCTCTTGGGAACAGAGCAGCAATGGGCACAGATGTGCTCGTAACTCTGCAGTAGTAGGTAGAGTCCTTTAAAATATATCCGGGAATGGCAGCGTTGGGTCCTTGGAGTTTTGCCAGACTCGTTTCCATAGCAGCTGCACGAGTTTATACTCCCACAAACAGTGATTAGGCATTTCCAGTTTCCACATCCACACCAGCAATTGTTGTCGTTCGCATTTTTGATGGTGGCCGCTGTTAGTTAGTATCCAGGCATCTGCACTGGCCTGTCCTTGGGGTTCTAACAGGATGCGTCCTCAGCTGCAGCCACTAAGAGCAAGACCTGTGCGTAATCACTACGTTCCTTTTTAAAAGGGCCCTGCCCACCTCCCAGCCTCCTTTCCTCCCTCTCTCCCTCTCCCTCTTTCTCTCTCTCCCCCTCTCCCCCTCCCCCTCTCCGTCTCCCTCTCCCTCTCCCCCTTCCCCTCTCCCTCATCTCCCTTCTCTTCTGCCACTCCTGTCTCCAGAGGTGGGTCTCCCCTCTACCCTCCCCCCTTTTTCTATTCACTTCCCCTCCAATAATAAAATCCTCCACCCAAGCTCCGTCGAACAGCATCTTTCGTTCATGCATCACTTTTTAAAATTGCAACAGTCACTGTGACTGGGATGAGGGGGAATCTCAAAGCAGTTTTCATCTTCATGTCCTGGGTAGCTAAGGACGTTAACACTTTTTTAGTGTTTACTAGATGTGTATAAACAGGTGAACTTCTGTGAACTCCATTCAACTCTATAGGCCATTTTTAATTGGGTAGTTTGTTTAGGGTTTTTTTGGGGGGGTCTTTGTACATTTCACACAACAATCCTGTCAAACATACAGCAAGCAAAGATTTTCAGGGAGTCTCCCCTATGCCCTTAAGTAACATTTATGTTGTACTCTTTCCTTTAACACTTTCAGCGTTTCAAAGACCTCAGTTAATTTTGTAGCTCAAACTACCACTGGCCTAGTGAAGAACACACACCTACGAAACTGCACAGACACGGCCTGGCATACAGCAGGCGCCCATGCACACTCACGAGGGACCAACGCAGGACAGATACACAGCAGCCACTTGTGCCTGTCTGTGAGGGGCCTGCATGGCCACCTTGCACTAAGGGCCCCATACAATCCCTCGTCTTCAGGTCACCTGCCTCTTCCTCCAACTCACACTGTTGCCTTGTGAATTAACAGTGTGAACTAAGTTAGAATATAAATTAGAATATAAATTCTCCAATCTTCCCACACCCCAGCCACCATGACTTGGAATGTTCTATATAGCTGGTGCTTTTGTGTCTTGGTCTGCTGCTGGTGCCTTCCAATGGGCAAATATTTGCTTCTAAAGGACAACTACTGTCTGACTGGAGGGGTGGACCACGCGCAGTGAGGGCAGAAATATGCAGGGCTTCACTGGCCATGGAAACAGATATTTCCTTGGAGACACTGAAAGATGGATCCACAGGTCCTGGAGTTCCTAGCTGTAAACAGACACCTGGGGCTTTATCTCAGCAACGCTGTGGGGTCCTGCGGAGGCTCTATCACAGCAGGTGAGATGGCAGCAATGTCCTGCAACCCTGATGAACCTGTGGGTGCTACAGTCTAGTTGGAGGAACCACACATGCTTCCTAGGTCGTTGGACTAGGCAACTAGGACTACTGTTTCTGAGACACAACAGCGCGGAGTAACATAAGTTAAATGTGACGGTTAGATGCAAAGCTTTCATCGCGACATTCTCTAGGCTCTGAGTCCAACTTTCTAGCAATTACATGGGAAGGAACAGGATCTACTTTCCTACCCCGTGGTGCGTAAATCCAGAGGGTAGCAAGTTGAGTGCCTCGTGTTGCTCTTAGCATCCAGGGGATGGATTAGTCTGAACACACATGACAGTAACACTCAACAAGACACCACATCTCAGGTGAAGCAGTAAAGACAAGCCTCTGAGGAAGACATCAACTGTAGGCAATTCCGCAGTAAGAGACCAAACACATATGTACACACATATGCAGTCCTTCACACATGGTCATAAGTACACACATACATACCAATTCATTCTCAACCACACTTGAGCACACACCATATACATATAATTTTATACAAATAGGACTTGTAGAGAAGGAATATGGTGACTAGGACACCGTGTTAGTCAGGATTCTCTAGAAGAAGAGAACTGAGAGGACAAATTTATATAGAAAGGGGATTTATTAAAGTGGTCCACAGGCTAATCCAACACCAGAAGTCCAAAACTCCAGTAGTGTTCAGTCTACGAAGCTGGATGTATCAGATGGTCTTTATTATTGCCAAGGAAGCAGGCACTTTATACTCATGATGGATTGAAGTCAGAGTCAGAGTGAGGGCAAGCAGAAAATCGAAGAACTTTCTTCCGTGTCCTTTGCATAGGCTGCCACCAGAAGGTGTGGTCCACATTACAAGTGGGTCTTCCTATTTAAGGTGATTAACATAAAACATCTCCCAGGTATCCAGCTACTTGGGTTTCAGTAAAGTCCAGATGTGGTCAAAGTTGACAACCAAGAATAAATGTCACAGATAGTGCCACATCTTTTTAAATATGGTATTTTTTATTTATTCCTTGATAATTCCCTACAGTTATACAATGTGTTTTGATCACATCCATCCCTTCCTCCCCCTCCCATCTTCCTGTCCTCTTTTTTTTTGAGATGGCCCATGTGTGTGGGTCTGAGGCGGAGCACAAGCAACCCACCAGTGGCCCCATGGCTGAAGAAAACTGACTCTTTACTCTCTGTCTCTCTCTGTCTCTGCCCCCCACCCCACTGGAAGCTACCAGTTAGCAATAGTTCTTCAGTAGGGGTGAGGGCCTCGTGCTGGGATTTTGACTGGCTTCGTCTTTGTAGAAGTCTTGTTCTGTCACAGATCTCACAAGTGAAAACCGCTCCTGGCAGTCAGCACCTGGCATTACTGTAGCTGTTTCCAAACAGGAGTAAACATGAACACGCCTTACCACGCTGAGATGTTCACAAGAGATTTAAAAAACGCACTCAAAGTGGCTCTCCAGTGTGGAACAGTTGCGAAGACTGCCCTGAACATCAATCAGGGAAGGAAAGCGTGCCTGTGCAGATAACGTGACCGTCTTCAGGAGCTCTGAGCCCCGGGTCCGAAGCTGTCCTCGACCTGCTACAACTCCCATTGCCATTCTCAGCTGCAGCGCCTGCCTCTCCTGGGGGCAGCAATGTGCTCAGTCAGAGATGTGGGGGGACCTGGAAAACTCGGCCAACCCTCAGGAAGACTGACAGATGCTCACACTTCCAGTGCCAGTGCCCTTGATGAGCTAACTGACAGTTTCCCATCCGTGATCACGAGTCAGACGGCCGCCTAAATCTGACTGTCATCACAAAGGTAGTTTTATGTGAACGCGTTTGTTTTTCTAACCAATGGCTCGGCAGTCACCTCGTAGTTTTTCACCCGAGACTTTCAGCTCTCTCACTAGAGCCACGGGAATGTAGCAAGACCTCCACAGTTCCCGGCTCTCCAGAAGTCAGGCAAGCACAGCGGGTGCACAGGTGTGGCCTATGATTATCCTCTATCTTCTCCCTCATGGAGGAGGACAGCTGAGGACCCAGAGCGAGCTGGCACTTGATCAGGAGGGCAGCAGGGCCTGGTCTGTGTATGAAAAGCAGATTTTGCTGTGTTAAGCTACGGGCATCCTGAGATTACTTTGCACAGCTTTCCATACTAACACACAACCAGGCCCCTTGAAAGGAGATTCAGTGACACTGTGGGACACTGGTCAGCGACCTGACCAAGTAGTAGCAAAGAAAGCCCCTTGAGACCCAGAAAAGCCCAATGTCCGTGTCATACAAGTGAAACGCATGCCAGGGCTTTCTAAGAGCCTGGAAGTCTGAACACACATGTGCTGAGCATGGGTCCTGAACACACGTGTGCTGAGCATGGGGCCCGACAGGGAATTATCAGAAAGAGGATTAGCAGCCCACACCTGATGGGGCCGTGTGAAAGTGTGCAGAAGCTTCTCGCTGGGCTCAAGAACTTCAAGGTGCCGGAGTCGGGCGCAAAGAGTGGTCAAGACTTGGCCTTCAGCCAAAAGCAACTCAGGGGTGTCCATGTAACTCAGGGTGTGAGCCACAAGGAGAGCAACTACATAAAAAGAGGCCAGACTGCATGAAAGACCAAGAAGGGCGACAGCAGAGGTGGCTGCACCTGGAGAAAGGGGGCTCACACTTCAGGGAACCATGAGGTCAAAAAAGGATGCCCGGTCAAGAATTTAAAAAAAAATCAGTAGCTGGCCGGGCAGTGGTGGCACGCACCTTTAATCCCAACACTCAGGAGGATCTCTGAGTTTGAGGACAGCCTGGTTTACAGAGTGAGTTCTGGGACAGCTAGGGCTACATGTATTAACCCTGTCTTGAGAAACCACACACACACACACACACACACACACACATGCACGCATGCACGCCGGAACTGCTTAGGGGGTGCACTCCCCACAGTCTTGGGGCCATGCACTCTAGGAGGGCTCACCCTCAGCAGCCAGTTACGTGTGGCCACAGTGGAAAGACCGGGAAGAATGAAGAACCTTAAAACACAAAGAGCAGCATCAGGGTGAAACCAGATATTCCCAACTGCAACCCGCAGGGCCTTAGAACCCGCATGAGCAGCTTCTGCAGTCTCCACACTCAGGCTCCGCCCTCGGGTGGGGAGCCAGCGCTGCATCTTCTTAGCATAGGGGTCTCTGGACCCGAGAAGCCTCACTCGGGCTCCACAGAGAGGACTGTGTGAGGGGGATACCCATGTCCCACCATGCTAGGTGCCTTGACCAAGCAAGTCCCTCGGAGAGGGGGTGACTATTTTCTAAGTGGGATCTACAGAGAAACTGATGTTTACCAGAAGGAAAACTGCTTATTTTTCACCAAACTACTGCTCTGTCCTAGACCAGTAGTTCTCAACCTGTGGGTTGCAACCTCTTTTTGGGTGGCATATAAGATATCCCACATATCAGATATTTACATTATGATTCATAGCAGCAGCAAAATTACAGATATGAAGTAGCAATGTATGGTTGGGGGGGTCACCACAACACGAGGAACTGTATTAAAGGGTCACAGCATTAGAGAGTTTGAGAACTACTGCCTTATACACAAAACTAACCATCATTACTCAGCTCCCTTTTGGTCAGGTACAAGCACATAGGGCTGTGCTCAGCCAGGGCAGCAGGGACAAACATGTAGGCATGAGTAACATTTTACAAGTTTGATTCCTGAAAGCCTCACCTATTTGACTCTCCAACAGTGGTTAAATGGAAAGCCTGGGGGAAGGTTGGGGGGACAGCACATTCCACAAGCATCCTACACACACACACACACACACACACACACACACACACACACACACGCATGCACCCACATCAGACAAATGAGGCTAAGACAGACTAAGTTTATTTTTCTAGTGCAAGCACAGTGTGTGTAAGACTAGGGGGGCAATTCAGGAAATGCAGTGGTGAGTGACAGATAAAGATAATCTGGTTTCAAAGCTAAACCAGGAAACAAAAACAGTCATCTCAGACACACTAGGGGCTGTACATACTACAGAAATAAAAACAAGTGATTGTCTTGTATTACCCAAGGAGCATCCCAGTTAAAACTAGTTTATTATATGCGTGTATTCTTAACAAAAAAATCCGTTTCCTTCATATTATATAATATTAAAAATGTTTCTCAGTAGCTACAGAGGTAGACTCATGTCACTTCATTCTTGGCTTTGAGAAATGAATGAATCAGGCAATTCAATAGGGGATGGGCTCCCACCAAAAAAATGGCGGCATAATAAAATACACCTGAAGTTCTCCACATTAGCTAGAAAAAGAGTTGATTTCCAATTCAGGTGCTCGGTAGACCTAGATTTTGAGGCTATCTATCTATCATCTATCTATCTATTCATCTATCTATCTACCTATCTACTTCAGTTAGTAGAGGTACAAGAACGCAGCAAGATATGACTAAGGCGTCAGTTCTTTCCTAAATTATGAAATGGGCCCAAAGAGCCTATCTCTATTTGTTATAAAAAATAACGAGTACCCCGCTTTGTTGGCCTACCTTACAAACTATCATTTTTAAAACACTAATTTTGGGCTTTTGCTCCACCATAGAATGTCACATAACGGTCCTGCTTGAACGTGTCCCCCCACCAAGTTCCTGGACCGGATTCTCTCCTGATAGGTGAGGGTCTTAAGGCTCGGAGGGACCACAGGTGATCCGGCGGTGAGGGTGGGGACTCCTTGATGAGATACGGTGTACCCGAGAGCTGCTTGCCTTTCCAGCACCGAGGCCATCCGTTTATAAACTAGGATGAATCTCCAAACAGCAAATATGACCTTAAGGATGGGGGGAGGGGTGGAGGGACGACGACAAACGACACTCTAGAGTCTACGGTGCGTTATACAAACTGGGACGGACTCAGAAAAAACAAATCTTTCCTTACTAATAGTTCGCACGCGGAGATTTAGGTTTTTCCTCTTTCTGTCATGGTTCCAGACAAATCCAGGAGTATCTCCTCGGATGCTGCCTGCGCTCCCGACCCCCGGGGCTTCTGAGTCAAGTCTCTTGAGGGGCTTGGGCTGCAGGGTCGGGGACCGGGGCTCGGCGAGCGCCCTCTGGCGGCCGCGCAGCCTGGCCGACGGCTCTGCGCGTGCGCAGCCCCGGCCGGCGCGCATCCTCACCCCGAGGGCGGCTGGGGACCGCACTGCTGGCTCGTGCGCGCGCGCGCGCGTGGCGTCTCCGTCCTCCCGGAGTAGGCTCCCCGGCCTTCCCGGACGCAGGCGCTGCGGCGGCCTCACCTGCTGTCCAGCCCGCCTTCTCCGGAACTGGCCAAGCGCGCGCACACGCTTCGCGTTACCGTGGTTACGAGAAAGCGGGGGTGGGGGGGGAGAGGAGACACCTTAACGCTACGCGTCCCTTCTCTATTCTCGCGAGAGCCCGCCCGGCGTCGATCCATTTCCGGCCCGTAGGCCTGAGTCCGTTCCCGAAAGCCCTCGGTTCCGGGGTACCACACTTCCGGGCGCGGCTTCTCTTCCGCCTGATGGGGCGAGTTCCAGGCTGAGCCCGGATGCTGCGGATGCTGCGTGGCTTGCGGGGCGTGGCGGTGAGTCCGGGGTCGGCGACCTCGCTATTCCAGACGCCTGCGCCCCCGGGGGGCCTGTCCTACCGTCCCTCTTACCGCTCCCCTCTTCCCACCCCCGCCACCTCCTCCCCTTCCCGCTGTCCCCCACTCCTCACCCCTTCTCTCCATCCCCTGCCCCACTGTCGGGTCCCGGGACCCGGTTGCACGCATCCTGGTCGGCCTGGACGAGCACCTCCGGTCAAGCCTGTCACCCGTGCCTTCCCAGCACAGCGACTGCAGATGAGAGAGTCCCCGAGTTGAATGTCTCAGCGATGGCTGCTCCCTGGAGGTGCGCCCTGTTGGTGGTCCTGGCGTCCCAGGTGGTGTCCCTGGTGAAATGCTTGGAGGAGGACGACGACGTTCCGGAGGAGTGGCTCCTTCTGCACGTGGTCCAGGGCCAGATAGGAGCCGGGAATTACAGCTACTTGCGGTTGAACCACGAGGGTAAGATTATTCTCAGGATGCAGAGCCTCAGAGGGGATGCGGACCTGTACGTCTCCGACAGCACTCTGCACCCAAGCTTCGACGAGTACGAGCTGCAGTCGGTCACTTGCGGCCAGGATGTGGTGTCTATCCCGGCGCACTTCCAGCGCCCGGTGGGGATAGGAATTTATGGGCACCCGTCACACCATGAAAGCGACTTTGAGATGAGGGTATACTCTGACAGAACTGTGGATCAGTACCCATTCGGAGAGGCTGCCTATCCTGCTGACCCCACAGGAGCCGGTCAGAACCAAGCTTACGCTCCAGAGGAGGCAGCCCAAGAAGAGGAATCAGCCCTCTGGGCGATATTGATTAGCGTTTTGAAACTGGTGCTTGAAATTCTCTTCTGAACCCTTATTTGCACGGAGCTATTAGTTTGCTGCGGACCTTGACCTGGTGAAATTCTGGTTACTTTCTCTAGACTAGGATGGAAAAATAAAGCCATACAGTTTTGTTACCTCAGTTTACTCCCCCACGCAGGAAAAGCAGCAAGCACAATATTTTAGAGATTAAAATTCCTATAAAAAGGAGTCTGCTCAATAAAATGTTTAAATGCATTTTGGTTAGTCAGGTGAGTAAGAAGATTATTGCATTAGCAGGCTGTGTAAGTCAGATTTGTACTAGTGCAGATGAAATATAAAGGCTCATGACTGTAGAATGTCTTCTATAGACATACTAAAATGGAGTACAGCCCTTGCAGTTTTAAAGAGGTTCTAAAGCCAGGTCGGAAATGCAATGACAGCTTCTTCCCAGAGCCTGTGTGCACAGTAGGGATGTGGCCCCTGGCACTCGAGCCAGCTTTCCTGCCAGGCAAGCATTGACACAGTTTGTTGTCATACCAGTTGTACCAGATGTTGGGCCCTCTGCCCTTTCCTGTTGGCCAGACTGGAGTGCTCTGGTTATTGAGTAACTGATACTACCTGAGCAGGTCAAAGATAGTCGTGGCAGACAGTAACTTTTCAGACTCAAGAAGAAATATTTCAAATTAAGTTGCTACCTCTTTCTGCTGATCTCTGGAAAAAGACAGCACTAAGAGACTAAAATCTGGGGAAATGAGCCATTTCTCTGACTTTTTCTTTCAAGGGTACGAGTTGCTAATAATGAAATAAATAAACTTGAAGATGTTTAAGGTCGTAGTTAATTTCAAAAAAAGTTCTTTATTGGCATAAAAATGAAAGTGTAAATAAATTGGCACCAAATATCCCAAACTGAGGGTGGGGTCAAAACCCTATTTTATCCCTCTTTGCTGTTTTTTCCCCTTCTGCCCACTTTCCTGGGTGTTGGGGGAGCTCGCTGACAACAGTCACAAATCCAGCGACCTAGGAGAAAAATTGTTAGTTAATATGGAGTGGAATTCTATTTTTATAGGACTGAGTACAAACCACCTAAATTCATTCCTGAGCTGTCCTCTCTGGGATTTTTTTTCCAGTGGGGAGGGAAGTACTGAGTTCCTTAAGCCAAGGTAGAAAATGTAAACAACCCTTAATCAGTGTAACCAATGCAGTGTGGAATTCAGTGCACGGACAAGAGGGGAAAGAGCACGAAACAATCATTGGTACCTAAAAAAATATAATGTAATCCTAAAATTCAAATACCATGCTTTTAAAACCTCAACAACACAATCCTAATGAGGAACTTGTTAATGGACCTGGCTTTCTATGGCCCCTTCCACTGTTAGGACAGCACTTTAAAACTAGCACCTGTACACACTCTTGAGCTGAATTACTGCAGATCCTTGATTGATTATTCACGTTGCTCACTGACGGATTCCAGGAAACTGAGTTTTATAGAGTACTATACAGTGTTAACTATGCAACTAAGTCCTTAAAATTGCACAATTACCTGTATGTTTCAATAGGATTACTGTGATTTACTATTTGATTCTGTGTCCACCCTAAAGTCATCTGGAATTGTCATGCTGCCTCACTTTATAGAAAGATGTCTTAGTATATATAAAGGTATAGCAGTCACTTTGTTAAGTTTCTAAATAGACAAACTTAAAAATAAAATGAAAGCATTGAAACAAACTGGTGGTGTTACTTTAGCAACTTTAGTAGATAACACCAGCTCATTCTATCCCTAACCTAAGCTTTCTATTCATGTCTCCTTTGGTTACACTAAGGATGAAAATCAGGTAGCTGCGACATGGACAATAACAGCTTGATCATAATTGGAACATGTTCATGTCATTTGTACAGCCTTAAAAAAAATGCTGGGAGATCTTCATCACACAAGAGAATGCGCTTTTTTTTTTCATCTTTACCTGATGGAATAGCACCAAGGCCCACACAAAAAGTATGATAACCTCTGTCACACACATCACAGAACATCATTTCTTCTTCGTGGTGGGGCTGTCCACATATAATGCATGTCTTACATTCCATACACTGCCATGGGTAGGTCTTAATTATAGAAACAAGCTCCATGGTCATATCCAAGCAAGAAGGGTGGCCTAAATCAAAACCAACATTAATAGGATTTCACAACAGAACTTTTAACTTAAGGCAAATAAAATATTAGTTCCCAAGAATGGTTGCCATGATTAATATTACCAGACACATCAAAATTTACAAGGTAGCAGATACATGGGCTTTAACTACAGCTAACAAGTCTATTCATTGCTGATTCTCTGGTGGACACCTAGCTGGTAGCTACAAACCCTAGCTTTTGAGGCAATTGCAGGGTGAGGTAAAAGTCTTAAGGAGACATGTCTACTTACCACTGTTATCACACTGGGAGCAGTGTATAAGTGATTCAGCCTTTCCTTTCTTGTTGGATTCCTTACCCTTCAGACAAATTCCACATAGAGCATTTGGAATGACCTTTGGCTGGAAGGGTAGAAGAGGGCTATAAATTCATGCCAGAAGAACTCACTATGGGGTCAAAAGGGGTTCTGTTATTACCTTTTGCTAATCTGATGAGAACTTTTTTGTAAGACATAACTGGATATGAGATGGATCAGAACATAAAACCCCATGCTAATGAAAGCCTAGACTGCACTCTATATACAGCATAAACATGTGTTGCCTAAATGTAGCACTCTATGCTCCCTACACACACAGCATCATCTATATAAAGACCAGAAGGAAAAATGAAATAGGATGTCAAATGCCACTAATAATGGGGAAAGAAAATCCATGTACCAAATGACCACACATAAAGCTAAGCCTAAGTTTTAAGCTTATATCAAGCTTACATTCACTTTATTTCAAAAACTGGTATTTTTCCAGTGATATAGAACTGAACCTATAAAATTTAAGTTAAAAAAACACTATTTTAATATTTTAATTAGAAGATGTCTCGTTCATTGTCATGCATAAATGTCTACAGAAATCTGAGTTGTATGCATAGTCTTGTTCCATGTCTAAAAAGTTAGAACTATGATAAAGGACAGAAGCAGTCACTGTGACGTGTAAAACAAAAAGTTTTCGGACAAGGAAAAACTGTTGTCAGATAGGAAATAATACAAAGCAATTTTTGAGTATTATCTTTCAGATTAAAAATATACACAGTATTAGGGCCTTAAACATGGAATAGGATAAAGCATAAGGAGTTTCCTACACTTAAAATGCCAGGGCAAGGAAGGGATAATTGAGCATCATAACCTTGACCATCACAAATGCTGCTCAAATGTACTATATATAGGTGTGCACCAGTAAATTGTTAAAAGGGGGAGGGGGACAAAGATGGTAACAGGGCAGTAATCTAACACATTGCATCTCTTTTCTAAATTGCGGCACCACAGAGATCTACACTCAAACTTTTATGAAGCAGTATCACTTTAAATGTTGCACTGCCATTTGTACACCTTGTCAAACCTAAATAATAATTTTTTACTTTTTAAAAAATATTTTGCAAAAGATGACAGAGGCATTCAAAAACAATTTTTGGCTTATTTATTTTTTAAAAAGTCAACCTTATACATAAATATGATAGAAACAATATCTAAACAATCACAAATGTCTCTACAAAATAATAAATATCATGGAGTTAAACAAACATATAAAATGTCCCCATTGACTACTCTCCATCTCCTCTGTGTATTTTGTACCCTGCTCTCCCAGCATCTGATAGCAGTTAGTTACTCTGCTACTCTTGCTGCATCCTAAGCACATGGTTTCACTGTGTCCGGGGGTCTAAGTAAAAAATAGCTAGGAAGTTCACTTCTAAGATTGAATCTTAACTGCCATAATATGCAGCAGAACTTTCAATAACCTGGACTAAATGTAAAAGATAAACTTACTTAATGCTTAGAGTTCAATTAGACACTGGCATAGTAAGTCTTTCACTAAAGTCAGGGAAGAAACTACACAATATTAAATTTTGAAGAGAGAATTCCTCACGGGAGACTCTTTACAAAGCAACTCAAAAGGAATAAAACACAAACCTAGTTATTCACATTCTAGAGCAATTCAAGTTCTACAGTCACTAAAATACACATAATGCCTATAATTAAAGACACTGAGAAAACTTAGGGTTTACCTTTAAAGTTATACATAATTTCCTGTTAAACCATTTAAAATTATTTCTTACCCAATAATCTTCATCTTGTTGAGAAGAAAAATATGCGAGCAGACAGAATGGAAGAGGAAGAAGGGCGAGGAAGAAAAGAAAAGCGATGGATGGAGGAGAGACAGCAGCAGGAGAGAGAGAGAGAGAGAGAGAGAGAGAGAGAGAGAGAGAGAGAGAAAGAGAGCACTGTAGCATTTTCTGCCACGATGCTACAGTTCACCACACAAAAGCACATAGTTCCTGTCAGTACCTAGGCTCTAACAAGCCACAGGGCCTCACAGACAAACGAAAGACCTACACTGAGGGAGAGAAAGAAGGTGTACAAATCCCTTGAAGATCATAGGGTGAGACTCTCTGGCCTCCTTCAGACAATCGCAGCAACCCTTTAGTTTTCTTCAGCCAGCAGCCCTCAGCAACTCAAATAAAAGGCTCATGGACACTCACTTCTCTTGTTGAAACTAACCGTATAGGTTTTAATTATATATGTGTAGGCCTGGAACCTAACAATTATACTTTAATCTCAGGTTAATGTAACCTAAGCAATACTGTCCACACGTAAAGGGCCAGCACTAGTCCATCTCATTAAATCACATTCGTTACCATGCTCCTTAGCACCCTTCTTTTAAAGGGGTGCGTGTATATGCGCGCGCGCGCGCGCGCGCGTGTGTGTGTGTGTGTGTGTGTGTGTGGTGTGTGTGTGTGTTTATGTGTGTCTATGAGTGTCAGCTTGAAGTACCCTAATGTTTAGGCACATCTTGGCTCATTAATACTTTTCATAGAGAGGTTAACTTTGAATAATCACATTCACATTAATATATAATACCTATATATTTGCTGTTCCTATCTTTGAAATACCTGAAACATTTTTAGTTATTAAAAATGTTTACAGATTATAAAATGTTTATTTTGCATATGTGGCTCCCTGGAGTACTATTAACTAAGATAAATCTATGTGATCCATACTAGATCAGTGATGATAGGGATAATCCTTCATTTCCAGCCTGCATTACATGCCTATTTCAATACACTCTACTTTATAATGCATGATCAAACAGGCTCCTTATTTAAAAGCTTCCTCAGCCCTGGACAGCTGCCACTCCCATTGGCACCTCTAAGACAGTGACACATACTGGCTTCTGCAGGCTGTTTCTGAAATGTAATCTTTGGAGTTTGTTTGGTTTCAATTATTAAGCAGTAACTGAAATCTTTAGTTTGCAAAGCTATACATTTAAAAAAACAAACAAACAAAAAACCAAATACAAAACCACACGGCAGCAGCCTACTGAGGCTGTCCTTGGAAGGATTCCTTGCTGAATAAAGCCACACTCGCTGGTCATGCACAAAAGCATGTGTTTCTAAGTGGACCACACATGGGTGTTTCTAGTAACTTAAGGGACATCCTAACGTACTGGCGAGGCTAAGGGAAAATGACTCCTAGCTCACTTCTGCTTATTTTCTGTGCTACATGCCATTGTTAGGATACTAACACACAGGTGTTTAACAACTCGACTTAGCAAGACTCTTATTCATAACCCTCCTCTAGTAACCTCCATAGAGTAACAGGATGTACAGTCTAATACAGCCAAGACAAGAAGAACGGTGTGCTGTACCATCACCACCCACATCACAAGCTGACCACTAAGTCTATTCCGCCTACAGTACTCTTACATTCTTTGCACTATGACAGTTGCTCACCCCTATCCAACCTTCAGAAGGAGAGAGGTAGACAGAAAAGAAACGTTAAAAATACTAGTTTCTGACCACCTACGGCCTTACTCTGAATAATCAGATTCGCAAACGAGGCTATCTGCCAAAGTTATACAAAAGCATGATATAACTCTAGGCTTCACTGTTTTCTACCAAACTTGGCAGAATTTGGCAACTAGATCCAACAATCCTTAGAATAAGCCCAGATATTCTCAATGAAAGGCACTACAAAAATACCACCTCGTGAGGTTAAAAGTCCACTCTGACTTCACAGCTCACCAAGTTTAGCTTTACCAACTGTTCAGATATTCAAAATGCTAGACAATTTATGCCCTGTATTTAAAAAAAAATCAAGTTCTGCCTTGAAACAATGTTTTAAAACTCATAGTCGCCTGGCTATTACTTAAAAGGGTATGGAGACCCATTTTGTTTCTAAACAGGAAATAGAAGCTATACCATGACCAAAAGTGACGAGAAAGCCACCAGGGAAGTAGAGCAGTGGGCGGGTGCACAGCACGGGGACAGAGCGAGCTCAGCAAGCTCAGCTCCGCTGCTCAGAGTTAACGGTCTCAGGGACAGGCTGAGTCAGGGGCTTTTTTCTTCTACCTTGTACCCAGGAACTGACTTGGACAGTACAGAACGTTTGGAGCCATCTTTTCTTGGAGTGGCCACTTTGTCTTTTGATTTCTGTCTTCCCTGGAAGGTGTCCTCCTGGCTGTCAGGGGGGCTGTCTCCTTCAGACACATTGCCTGAGGAGCTGTCCTGTAGCAAAAGATAAAAACAAGGGTTCCTTGGAATTAAGACCAAG